GGCTTCGGCTCAGTGACTCTTCCTGGCTTTTTTTAAGGTGACGGTACCTTTTTAGAATATCAATCACTAATGTTTATCCCTAGGGGAAGTATGTGGGTGTATTCCTTTCATCTTTTGTCTTGCAGTCTGGCCCCTAATATCCACTGGGGATACTTCCTCCATAGTTGCATCCCATCTTCCGCACAGGCTCATTTGAGGACCCAGCCCTATCTGACTGCCTATATTATTTCTATTTCACTCAGTTGCCTACAACAAGAAGGTCACAGAAATGGAAAATATCACAATTAAGTAGGAATGTAACAAGGAACCAAACAGGGTCAAACACTATCATTACATATTCATCTCAGGCAACTAGGCCCATAGAAAGCAAGACCAGTAACATCTTACCAAAGCTTTCCAATAACATCAACTACCTGTGAAGATAATGGAGAAATGAACTAACAAATACTAATAAACTTAAAAAGGGTTGGTAATACATTTTATTCTCATTAAAATGAATACACTATGACTCCATGTTGCTACATCTATCAAATGAAGCATTCTATCTTTTTTATTATTATTTTTTGTGGTACTGGGGATGGAACCAACTCAGGGCCTGCCTCATGTAGGCTAGGCAAGTGCTTTGCCACTGAGCTACACCCTAAGTCATATACCACTCCTTTTTTCAGTTAATAAGAGGAGAGGAGATGTCAAAGCAGTAAAACTTAGAGAGAAAAAGCATGTATTTTTTCTTATTCAAATTATAAAAATTCATTAAAACGTAATAAAGCAAAATAAAAAGGTGGCTTATTGATATAAATGCAGGTTAAAGATAAATGAGTTCATGTCCACAAGAATGTACAACTGCACAATATCCTTAGGTTAGATTTGAGAACTTGCTTTTAGATGGACATATGGGTCATTTCTAAAGCACTGGATACTCTATAGTTTTAAATTTGTATACAAAGCCTATGTCATTCTTAAGACTCAAGAGGTACAAATTTAGGGGTTTCACTATAAAGAACAGCTTGTAACTTTCCACCTTGCTTAGATTTTCAATTTCTCTTCAAAAGCTCTTCAGCTATTTTACTGTGTGGTCCCTATGTTAGTATAATGTATTACTGGCAATAATAAATTATATTATTTTTAAATACTCAAACATATTCAAATGTTAGCAAAAGTGGCATGTAAAAGGAAATTTTATTTATTTTCAAGGAAATCCAGGTGATACAAAGTGCTTATCTAGGAAGATAGTTGAATTAACAGTATTTCATTTCATTTTATGTGTGTATGTATGTATGTATGTTTTTGAGACAGGGTCTTGCTATGCATTTCAGGCTAATCTTGAACTCACTATGTAGCTGAGGCTGGCCTCAAACTCATGTCTATCCTCTTGCTTCAGCCTCTCCAGGACTGGGATTACAGGCATGCACCACCACGCCTCGCTTAATAGTATTTTAAATAAAGGACTAGAATGTTCTGTTTCCTGGTCCAAATCTAAGGTCCTTATTATTTGCTACTAATACTTCTATTTGTATACACTTTGCTTAAGAGACATAAACTACTATACAGCCTTTACTCTAAGACTGACATCCCTTTTTGATATGGCATATTACAGATTTCTGTTCCTTTTTTTTTAAATTATTTTTTTGTTTTTTTTTCCGGTACCAGGAATCGAACTCATGACCTTGCGCTTGCCAAGCAGGCGCTGTGCCACTGAGCTAAATCCCCAGCCCCAGATTTCTGTTCCTAATGGAACGAAAAGCCAGTATTTCTAAACACAGTTCAACCACAGTAAGTCATATCTACTTTTACCACTGCCTAGATGCACAAGCAGAATGGTGCATGTTTCTTCTAGTTAAAGAAAAAAAATGTCAGGAAAGTATTTATTTATACGAACCAGGACCAGCAGTCATTCCAAAAGAGCCCTTTGAAGAGAATCTCCTTGGACAGCAGATTTTCCACAACATACAGGTCTATTTCCATTATGAAAGCATGTGAGCTCTGTAAATTCCTTAAAGGTTAGATTCTTATTTTTCATGGCAGTACCCTTTCCCAATTACTCCACACACTGGGATATCAGAGTTAATGTTAAATGGATCATTTAAACGACAGATGAGGTCCTTTATACCCAAATAGTCCTGATTGTAAATTAGGTGCTTTGGGATACCGAAGCTCTCTTGAGGCTCTCTCGGCTGGCAGTACCATAGTGAAGGGTGACAGTGCATAACTGAAGGACTACAGTGAAGCCTGGGAACAGTTTACTAACTGGTCAAAACCAGAACTGGTGATTTAAAACTGACGGTGACTTTGTCATTATCAATGGAGTGTTCTTCATAGCTGCTTCCAGAATGCTACTTTCCCAATTTGGGGCTGAGTAGATTAAATAAATCTTTGTATTTACACTTCATTATTTCCACTAATATATTTGGGAGGAAATGTTGCTTTTGAATGTAACAAACACCAAGGTTAAGAAGAAAAGTCATATGGAAAATATCCTATTTGACACTATTAAAAAAAAACCCCACGGGGGCTGGGGATTTAGCTCAGCGGCAAAAGCGCCTGCCTGGCAAGCGCAAGGTCGTGAGTTCGGTTCCCAGTACCGGAGAAAAACCAAAAAAACCAAAAAATAAAAAATAAAAAAAAACAAAACCCACATTGCTTTTTACTCAATTTCCAAACTCAAAAGCTATTTCTAAAAATCTTTAGGCACTGTCACCCTAAAACCCTCAATTATTACAATGAGTGCTTTTAAAAAAGTGCTACTGTGTGTTAAGGCCCTGTACTGCTGAGTCATCCAAATCCTATACCAGTAATTGATATAGTTTCTTTGTTCTTGCCTTCTTGAATTTAACTGTATTAGTCAAGAGAACAGAGCCAAAGTAATGTTTTCTTTGGAGATGGAACTTTTGAGCTTCTCAAGGTCATTAAGAATGTTGTCTAAAAAAAAACTAAATGAAAGGTGTTCATAAAATATTACACATCTCACAGGAACCAAACAGGACATACTCAAACAGGTAAAAGCTGCTTTTACCTCAGCACCGATTTACTCTGGAAGTCACTGCACAGTCTACACTGTACAGATAAGCTGGTATGTCTTGTTATCAGGTTATAAACATAATGCCCATGTCATCAAGAGTTCATTTTTCCCAAATATCCAACTATCTTTTAAAAAAATTCTCATGTAAGACAGGGTTTAATTTCATTTCAGACTAAAGAAGTTGAAGCTCAAAATACCTCACAGTTGGAAAGTTTGGAAGGCAAAGAAACTACATTAGCCAATGTTAAGAGAGGTGTAGCATGGCATAAACCTCTTGTCTTTTATTTTTGTGCCACCTGCTTACAACATAGGAAAACATCTTTAGCAGATGTGAAATAAATAATATTTTGAAACAATTTTTCTTTCCTTTTCCCTCTTTCCTTTCTTCCTCCATTCCTCCCTTCTTCTTCCTTTTCCTTTTTTTTTTTTTTGGGTGGTACTGAGGACTGAACCCAAGCCCTTTGCAATGAGCTACATCCAGAGTCCTTTTCAAAGTTTTTTTTATTTTTATTTTGAGACAGGGTCTCGCTATGCTGCCCAGGCTGGGTATGAATTTGCAATCCTCCTGTATCAGCCTCCCAAGTGCAACGGTTACAGGCATGAGCTGAGGGTAGATGACTACTAAATTTATTTTCATATAAAAGTTAAAATTTCTTAATCATGTCCAAATCATTTGGAAGTTAAAATTTAAGAGTATTAAGTACAACACATTCTTGAATTTCAGGCTATAGTATATGCCAACCACATAATATCCCACCTTTGCCAGACCAGTAATTTATTTCTTAACTTACTACTTCTAAACTATCTTCTTCTTCTTAAAATAAGAATGCAACTAAAGAATTTTGTATCACACAAAATATTCTCCTGTGGAGTTTTGTTTCATTTATAGAACTACCTTTTATCTTTGGATTTTCAATTTCAAATTCAAACATACCTTGCAGAAATAAATGGTACCTACGACAATGTCAACAGCTATCCAGTAACAGCAAGCTCATATATTATAGAGAACTTCTGTGAGGAGACCTACTGAAAGGAAACCTTACTGAAATCTTAAAAGAAACCTGAACTTACAAATGGTATAAAGGTCCCTGATTCAATCACTAAATACTCTCCTCTTTATCTTCAATTTAAAGCAGAACAGACTTGAAACTAGAGCAAGTCTATGCACTAATCCTCACTTTAACTGGACAGCTAATAGTTTCCCCAGCGTCTGGCCTTTATGAACGAGTACCTGTTCCTACATGCAGAAATGTTACCGCGTTCAAACCACACATACTCAGTTTTCTGGAATGATACTGGATTTGGGTTATCTACTTTTCAGTACTACGCAGCTGTAGGCAATAATACTTTGCTCTTTGACTAGCAAGAACAAAGTAGTACCAGAAATATGTATTTTTTTTTAATGTAGAAGAAATAGCCTGCTTCATAGAAATGAAATTCAGATGTTTTGCTTTAAGACTGCATAGCAATGCCTTTTGGGATAAGGCCTCACATCCAGGTTGATGCTTACTGTCTATCTATCCATTTCTTTCAAGCAACATTTTTTTTTTATCGAGTGGGAAGGAAATACTAGAACTTGAGATAAGCAGTATATCTTCTTGTAACTAAAGCAATGTATTTTCTTGTTCTCTTGCAATTGTTTCTACCAAAAAAATATGAGGATGGAAAAATGTGACTCACTGTACAAAAATATGTTTATAAGCAACTCTCCAAGAACATAGACCTTTCGTTAAGGCAGGAACATTTGTATTTACAACACAGAACTGAAACACCTACGTGTTTTTCTGTATAACAGAACATGTTTCTCTTGGCTGAAACAATGTTTTATCTTAGTATTTGAGCAGGAATTTATAAATAGGTCATCTTTGATATTTTGGCCAGAAGGACATTTAGACATTAGTTTTGTTTTAGGGAAAACAGTGAAATGTAACAGCATAAAACACGTTAGTCTTTTTACTTTCTCACATGCACACAAAGTTACCAGCTGAAGTCGTCTTTAATTCGGTTTTCAGTTTTTCCTGGTCTTCTACTAGTTTTTTATTTTCTGCTTCCAAAACGTGTTCCTCATCTGGGCCAGGGCTTTTCAGGATCTACCGCAAGAGAGAGAGTCAGAGAAGAAGCAAGCTTAAATTGCAATGGGCAGATACTCTTACAGAAGGTGGTTAAGTAACCTGTCTAAATTTATTGGTCTTTATTTAATTCTTTGTCCTTTTCAGCACTTTATAATTTTCTACAAGGTACTTTTGCTAAAAGAGAGTTGATATTTGGCAAACACACACACAAAATTTTTCTTTTTATGATAAAATCTCTGAAATGAAAATAACAATTTCTGGTTAGGCTACAATTATAATTATGTTTTCAAAATCATTTAGGTAAATAATGTGACTCTTCCTCAATTAAGTGTATAACTAAGGAAAGAGAAACATTTCTAGAAAAAAAGGAAAGAAGTTCTGATGTTGATATTAATTAGAAGGTCTTCATATTCTGGCATGAGCTACTTAGACTATTTTTATATAGACAAATTCTACATTTAGATTTAATGCTGTCAGTAAGTGGAAATGACAGGGCCATCTCTACGGTTGGAAAATTCTAATTTCCATTCAACAGTCTCCAAATTACTTTTATTCACTTAATCCTTTATAATGCTCTTTACATTTTAAAATCTATTCTGGCATTAAAAATATTTCTCACTTTTCTTTGCCAGAAAAGAAAAAATAAGATCTGAATAATGAAATGGTTGATATAAAAGCACCATGGAGAAAGGTAAATTAATATTCAAAAATAATACATCTATCCACTGGTACGGGCCAGTTGACTAAGTAAGAGGGCAGCAACTTGATACTGAAAGCTTCCACAGTCAAGTAAAAGAGCACATCAGGAGAACTTTAAACAGCATCAAGAGTATAATTTCTACTGTACAGTGATTCATTTTCTAATATAAGTAGTACAGTCAACAAAACAGGAGTTTTATGGAGCAAGGCCTAATGTAAATATTTCACAATGTAAGGTATTATAAAAGATGAAAACGTAAAAGAGGGCCTGGGGATTTAGCTCAGTGGCACAGCGCCTGCCTGGCAAGTGCAAGGTTGTGAGTTCGGTTCCCGGTACCAGAAAAAAAAACAAAAAAAAAAGAAAATGTAAAAGAAACATGGCTTCCACTGTCAAGTAACTTCAATCTAGTAGAAAGGCTAAGACCAACATAAAATAGCACAAGACCAAACACAGTACTATCATGCTACAACAAATTAGGCTGCTCAGAACAGGAATTAAAGCTCTAATGAATATATCATATAATCTTAATTAGGATTATAACTAGGAGATTGAAATATATTCTAAACTGAAGGAACTTCATATCTTTTGAAACAAAATTTTTTTCAAAGTGCAGGACAAGGAAAAAAAAATCCCCAATCTCTTTTAATTTGTTGCTTACTTCAAGTTCAAAATAATTCTCACTATTATTTCACTGAATTCAGTTCACATAATCTCTGGTGATTACCCAAATTGGAAGAGAACCACTGAGCTGAAGGAATTTTACAGTGACTGGTTGAATTATTATGCAGCTGACTTAGAAGACTTGGCTTTGTGTCAGTCTAGTAAATGAGCTTTCACTACTGCACCTGTAAAATTGTCCAGATTTATTATGTGTAATTTCATGCTGGAGAAGGGTCTAGAGTCCCAGAGTCTGAAATTCAATAGCTACCAGCTACAACACAGGTGGTCACTGTTCCACCTACTCTATCCCACCTTGTTGAATGGCTGGGCCTGAGTCAGCGAGAAGTAAAGCTTCATCCTGTCATTTTAAAGCAGTTAACTATGATTAGTCTTTCATAATTACTACATCTATTTAACCGAGTATCAAAACAGAAAGGGGTCTTAGGCACAAGCAAGTCATTTTATTGGCTAGCACAGGAGCTGAAGTTACAAAATGATGCGATTACAAGTGTGGATTCTAGAGTCAGGCTGGCTGGGTTCAATTTTCTGTCACTTTTTGATTGTATGATTTTGTGCAAGTTACATAACCCTCCTGTACCTCTATTTCCTCATCTATAAAATACAGATATAAAGTACAAACCTCGTGGGACCATTGTGAGAATTAAAAGTCAATACTTTAACTGTGAGGCATTTGAGGTGACGCTTGGCATAGATGAGTATTATTTATAGCTAAGGAACCCTGAAGTCCAGAATATACGGAGGTAACTTGCCCCAGGTTGCACTGCTAATGACCAAATCTCTTGGTTTTCAGGCTAATGCTCTTCCCCTAGGTAATACACCTCTGATAGAGAATGAAGAGGTATTTTAACAATTTTATCTTCCATAGCTAATATTTTAAAACCCACAAGAAGTATTTAGATACTGAAATCATCTGTAACATTCTAACCTATGTCCTTACTGTCACTTTGTTGGTCAATTACTTCACTGTGAGCACTGAGTGTGTTCAGTTCACAGACTTCCTTCTGAATGTGTACTGGCTCTAGCCCAGCCTACCTGAACTTCCTCTAATGATTTAGGACCATTGAGTGGATCACAGCTATATAACAAGCAGGGAACCATGACAGCATGGGACCAAAGGAAAGGGAAAAAAAAATGGAGAAAAAGATCACAGGAGGTCAAGGAACCAGTGACCATGAAATAAATATCCTTGCAAGGATAACTGGCTTTTTTTGTTTTGTTTTGTTTTCTGGTACCGGGAATCGAACTCATGACCTCACGCTCACCAGGCAGGCGCTGTGCTGCTGAGCTAAATCCCCAGCCTCTGTAACTGGCTTTTGATAACAGTTCCAAAAATGTTCTGAGGATGGTAATTTTTTTCAAGAACAAGATCAGTTAAAGTGCATTAATTATGGTGCATATGGCAAAAAAGGTAGTATCAAAACTTTATAAAAATATTTTCCCTTTTCTTAGCACAGAAAAATAGGAAAACAACTACAGGGAAAAAAGTAGTGTTCTAATAGTAGTTGCTTTTTGATACTCTAAAATGATGTTCCTAATTTTAAATCATTAGTAGTTCTATAAACACAAGGCTGTGTGTCTTTGAGTTTAGTCGTCATATGGTAAAGCATCTAGGACTATGGTTTTATTTTTACTTTGTAAAATGATATTAAACCTATCTTAAGGTAATAGCTTTACCTATTATTTATTGAAGTAAATTCAAGGTATAAAATGAAGTTATTATGCTACTGAAACATTAAAAAAAAGCAAAAAATGACATTGCTTTTGAATACAGAAAATATAACAGCTTGATTTCTAGGAATTGTATTTATAAAAGGAAATTTATAAGCCATCAATACATCAATGCCTTTTCAAAACAGAATAAAACAAAGTAAAATATAAACTGGTTCTTTTTTTTGGGGGGGAGGGGGTTTTCTTCCAGTACCGGGAATCAAACTCACGACCTTGCGCTTGCGAGGCAGGCACTGTGCCACTGAGTTAAACCCCCAGCCCTAAACCGGTTCTTATACTTTAAAAGTTTCCTTAAAAGATGCTGGTAGTGGTCAAAGAAACATTTTTGAGTTCTGTTTCTATGAAAAGAGGTCTTTAACTTTTTGTTATAGATTAAATGAGGCAAAAACTGAAAAGTAAAATATGTGGTGTAAATAGGTGATCATGATAGTGTAGCATCATTCCTCTTGCAACTGGTTTTGCCTCATTTAATAAATTTTAGGGGCTGGGGATTTAGCTCAGTGGCAAAAGCGCCTGCCTGGCAAGCGCAAGGTTGTGAGTTCAATTCCTGGTACCAGAAAAAAAACAAAAACAAAACAAAACAAAAACACACACACACACACAAAAGAATAAATTTTAGAAAGCTTTATGTTGCGCCCCATAATAGCTAACCCATTCAGGATTGATGAAAGGTAGTGCTTATAGCTCTTTGGTATAAGAAGCTAGGCTTTTGGACTTAAAAGATTTTAATTCTCTATGGTAGACTGAAAAAGTACTTCTTACACAACAGTGTAATGTATAATGCTATTTGCATTTCACTGGAGAAAAACAATCATATTTGATCATTTTAGGAATTCTTCCTTCCTTCCTTCTCCTTCATTCCTTCCTTCTTCCTTCCTTCCTTCTCCTTCCTTTCTTCCTTCCGTCCGTCCGTCTGTCCCTCCCTTCCTCCCTCCCCCCTCCATTCTTTTTTTTTGGAGACAGGGTCTCATTATTGTAATTCAGACTGGTCTTCAACTCACTATGAAGCTAGGCTGGCCTGGAGCTTACAGCAATCCTCTTGTCTCAGCCTCCTGAGTGCTGGTTTTACAGGTGTGCACTACAATGCCTGGCTTAAGAACACTTTGTTTAAGAAAGTGTTATGAAAACACTCCTCTTTTTGCTGAAAATTAATATATCACTTCTTCAGAATATCAACAATATTCATACAAATTGTTACAAAGAAAATGAAATACCCGTTTTAGTTTTTCGTTCTCTTCCATGAATCTCTTGGCAGCTTTATTAGTATTTTCTGCTTGAGTTTTAAGTACTCCTTTGTTTGATAGTTCTTTTGCCAGTTGAGTAATAAGTGTTACCAGACGTCTCAATACCCTAAGGAGAAAAAAAAATCAGAATAGCTCATAATCAGACTAGCCAGCCACCAGGGGCTGTGAGTTTAAAACTAACAGCCACGATCCAGTGACTTGCAGTTAGGCACAGAGGTGTGGTACTGGAGATGATAGTCAAAACAGAACAGATTCAAAAAAAAAACAAACAAAACAACACAAATTCAAGTCTCAGCTAAAGCCTGTATCTCATTTCTCTGGAGTCTTTGTTAGAAAGTGAGGACTGGGCTGGGGATTTAGCTCAGCAGCACAGCCCCTGCCTGGCAAGCTCAAGGTCATGAGTTCGATTCCCGGTACCAGGGGAAAATAAAAAGTGAGGACTGGAATATACAAGGGAATATACAAATCCAGTAGCACTTTTTTATTTTTAGTGGTTCTGGGGGCATTGAATCAAGGGCCATGTACATAAAGTGGTATTTAATATCTTACTTATAGAGGCCCCTAGCTGGTAACAGAAACAGGAGAATCTCAGACAGTGTGGCAAGGCCAGAAAGAAAAAAAAAATTCTTTTGGCCAAGGTCAAAATTTACTAAAGAGCATTGTATAAGGTTGGCCAAGCTTAAAAACTGCCTATTCACCCATTTATGTGTAACTTCCATTGTTAGGAATTATAATTAATCTCTTCAATTATTTACTTATCAGGTACTTCCTGAGGAACTGCTAAGTGTTAAACACTATATCAGGTGTTGGGGATATCGCAGAAAATGAACTCAGTGCAGAAAATGTCCTTATGAGGTTTAAATTCTAGTTAGAGGCATGGCTTTAAAACAGTACTTCATTACAACTGTAATGATATTTAAAAGTTAAGTATACACACATTTTAGAGTGGAAGATCCACCTACTTTGGGAGGAATGACAGCCACAGAAGGCTTCCCTGAGAATAAGGCTGAGGAAGAACAGGAGTTAGCCACATGAAGAGGGAAGGAAGAGTTCTGTCAGAAAAAACAGCCTGTATGAAGCCCCTGAAGTGGGAAAGAGGTGGGCACACCGTGACGCTCCATCAATATTTATTGCACGTAGGAATGAATATATAGTGAAGGGGAGTGAGGGGGATGTGTTAGGCTCATCAGAGAACAGTGCGAGAGAAGGCTCCAGAGAGGCAGGGGCCAGGTCATTCAAGGACCTACGGAACTAGGAGACCTGTAAGGTGTCAGTATTATTTATGCCAGTATATCATCTGAGGTCTTTCCTGGAGATATTAGTACAGTAAAATGACTGTGTAAAGGTAGGGGAAAAAATGAGAAAGAGAAATCTAAATAATGTTTTAAAATTAAAAGTGTGCTTTTACTCACAGCCAAAAAAATAATGAAAATCCTGAAATGTAAAGATTTCTTTGCGATCTGAAAAGTTTCATCTGCGTATGTTCATAGGCACTAGTAGTTTTGGTGGTTGTGATCTTCTCCAGGGAATGAGCATAGGAGTATTTCCTCACTTCTCTGATAGCATCTATTACAGAAGCAGAAAATATAAAAATTTGCTTTTTAAGAATATAAAATTATTATAAAAGAGAGGCAATTTTAGAATAAATTATCAAATTTTCAATGACGGACTTTGGGTAGGGACTTCTTTCTTTCAGTACTGGAGAAGTATCAGGCTCTAAGTAGGTACTTTGCAAATGGATATTAGTGGGAGATTACAAATTACCACGGCATTTTATTTTAAATTACTCATAGAGACTTACCGTCACTCTACTGTTGTCTTTTGCTATTTTGCAAACTATTTTATCTTTATCCCTAATGACTAAAATTTAACCTATCAACAGTTAACAGGTATAATATCCCATTATACCGATCCCAAGAGATGACACTACTTCTCTTACAGTACTAGCATTCTATTATGTGTGTTACTTTAAATAACTGATATTTTAGAAATACTTGGTTACACTGAAATTTCCACTGGTATAAATTTATTAAAATGGGATTTGACCTATGGTGGCACATGCTTCCCCAACTGGCAGCTGGTGGCACCAGCTACTGGACATGTTCAGATAGCTGGTCTTTTGATGTTCCCAGTTGTGGTACATTTAAGATCTAGGGGAACTGCTGCTTTCTAGTAGGAAATAGAGCTTATTCGGGTCTATATTTAGTGCATTGTTAGTCACTGGATTCTTACATGTCTTGGAGAGCTGCCTTAGATCTGATAGCAGAGGTAAAAACCAAGTTCTACTACTATATTCCTTTCACGTGACAATCAGCATTCTTGGGAAAGCATTTTTGCCACATAAGGAAAAGAATTCCTGTTAGAGAACTGAAGCCATTTTGGCTATTTGACTTTATTTCTTATAGCAGCTTTACTGGGATATGATGTACATACCATAAAAATGACCTTTTTAGTACATTCACAAAGTTTTGTGACCATCACCATCTAATTTCATAACATTTTCATCACCCCAAAAAGAAACGCTGTATCCATGCTTCCCTTACTCCAGCTCCTGACAACCACTGTCTGTATGGTTTTGCTTATTCTGTACTACGCATATAAACAAACTGGTATGCTAGTCTGTTTCTTTCATTAGCGTGCTTTCTAGGTTCACCTGTTACAGTATGTATCAGTACTTCATTATTTTTTATAGGTAAATAATATTCATTGTAGAGATACAACACTTTTCGTTTATATCCATGCATCAGCTGATGGACATTTGTGTTGTTTCCACTTTTTGACTATTATGGAAATGCTGCTGGGAATCTCCATGTACTCATTTTGTGTGGGCATGTATTCACTCCTTGTGGTATATACCTAGGAGTAGAACTGCTGGGCCACATGGGTACTCTGTGTTTAACTTTCTGAGGAACTTTTTTTCCGAAGCAGCCATACCATTTTACGTTCCCACAACCACTGTAGGATGGTTCCAGTTTGTCCACATCCTCAGCAATATTTGTTATTACCTGTCTTTCTAATTACACATACCCTAGTGGTGGAGGGGGTGTGTGAAGTGATTTTCTGATGGCTAATGATGCTGTGCATCTTTTCAAGTGCTTACTGACCATCTGTATATTACCTGTTGAAAAATGTGTATTCAGATCCTTCATTCAGAAAGTTATTTACCTTTTTATTTGTTCCTCAAATTTTTTTCAAGTTGAGAATGAACATTTATCACACATAGTTAACCCCTCTGTAGTCTTTTGATGTACAATGCTTAGCTATAAAGATCTGACTGGATCAGATTTAATACTTTTGGCAGGAATCCTTTATACTTTACGGTAAACTTGATTACTTAGTTTTAAAAGCATATATTAATTGGGGTTCTCCAGGCAAACAAAACCGATAGAGGGTGTGAAGAGAGGGAGAGGAAAGAAGAAGGCGTGGGGAAAGCAGATTGATTGGTTGATTGATTTTAAGAATTACCTTACATGCAGGCTAGGAAATCCATAATCTACAGGATAGACCTGCAGGCTGGAGACCCAGGGAAGAGCTACAGTTTGCTGGCACAATTCCTTCTTGCTTAGGGAAGTAAGTCTGTCCTGTTAAGGTCTTTATGTGACTGGATAACACCAATCCATACTGTAGACAGTATAATTAGCTTTACTCAAAGTCTGCTTGTTTTATTTATTTATTTATTTTTTGTAATCACTCCAATTTTGTACCTGAAAAGATTTCTTTTATTCAGCTGTTAAAGAGTTTTCTGGCTGTCTGTATGAATTTTAGAACCAATTGGTAAATGTTCACAAAAATGCCTACTGGGATTCTGACTGGGACTCTGTAGAATACACTGTTTGATTTTGGAAGAATGAACTTGTTAATATTGAGCCTTTCAACTGATGAAAACATCTCCATTTATTTTGATCTTCTTTAATTTCTACCAGCAATGCTTTTATAGTTTTTAGTAGAGAGTTCTCATATATCATTTATAAAGACTATTTTAGGCTTCTTGGTAAACTTATAAAAGGAATTTCTAAAAATTTCATTTTCTAGTTGTTTACTATTTATAGTATGGACACAATTAATTTTTGTAGATTGACCTTATACTTTGTGATCCCACTACATTAATTTCTTTTACATAGTACCTTCCTTATAGATATTTAAGGAGTTTCTATTAAAACAATCACATCTTGGGGCTGGGGATATAGCTCAGTGGAGTAAGCGTATGCCTGGCAAGTGCAAGGTTGTGAGTTCCATCCCTGATACCACAAAAAATAAACAAATAAATAAATAAATAAACAAAATAAAATAAAATAAAAAAATAAAACAATCACATCAGCCAGGCGTGGTAGCACATGCCTACAATCCTAGAACTGAGGCAGCAAGATCACAGGTTTGAGCCCAGCCTGGATGACTCAGTGAGTATTGTTTCAAAATAAAAAACAAAACAAAGGCTGGGGATGCAGCTTAATAAAAGGTCCTAGGTTTAGCCCCAGTACCACAGAACAAACTAACTCTCCCCAACCAAACTCATATCATCTATAAATAAGTACTGTTTTACTTTTTCCTTTATAAACTTTTTTTTTCTATTTTAACATCTTGATTAGGACATTTACTACTTAAATGAATAAAAACAGGAAAAATGAATATCTTTGCCTTGTTCTCAGTCTTATGGGGCAAGTTTTTTCTTTTTTTCTTTTTTTTTTTTTTTGTGGTACTGGTGATCGAACTCACGACCTTGTGCTTGCCAGGCAGGCGCTTATACCACGGAGCTATATCCCCAGACCGGGGCAAGTTTTCAGTATTTAAAAAAGTATGATGCTAGCTTAAGGTTCTTTTGGTAGGTCATATTCATCACAATAAGGAATTTTCCTTCTAATCCTAATTTGCTAATTTAAAAAAAAAATGAGTGAATATTCTTAATGTACCAACTAAGATTAGTCATTTAAATTTTTTTCCCTAATACACATTAAAAGCTCTAAATTTTCCTCTAAGCAGTACTTTTGAGACATACCGCAAATTTTGATATATTTTCATTATTCACTTAAAATATTTTCTAATTTTCTTTGACCCAAGGGTTACTGACAAGGATCCTTGACTAATTTCCAAACATGTAGTTAATTTTCTTGGTATTTGTTGCTGATTTCTGTTTTTTATCACCAGTATGACTTCAATCCTTTGTATTCACTGAGACTTGTTAGAACACTGGGTGATGTGCCCAGCCCTTTGAAAATTTTTTTAAAACTTTGACACAAAGTCTTTTTAAGCCACTAAGTTGCCCAGGCTAGGCTCAAACTTGTGGTCCTCCTGCTTCAGCCTCATACAGAGTTGGGATTATAGGGGTGGGCTACTGTAACTGGCTAAGTTTTTAAAGGGTAAGTCTTACTGGCTTAATTTTTACTTTAGTAAATCTCTAATTCCTGGGACACAGGCTCTGTTCCTAAGAAACAGCCTTTCTATAGTTTTAGTAGAAAAGTTTCAAAGTCTTTACCAAGCCCGTCTAATGTAAGACTCAGACTTCAAATTGTCTCTACTTAGTGGGCAGCAGGCAAAATTTCTGGTCGTTTCTTGCTGCTTCCCACGTTAATGTCCCCATGAGCTCCTTGGAATCTTCCCCACATATCCATAGTTCAAGAGTCAACCAAGGACTTGGCGGGGGCAGTGTGGGGTTCTCCCTTGTCTTGGAAATTTCCCTTAATGTTTGGCCCTTCTGATACCTTCAGAGCAGCCAACTGCTTTTGAGTTGCAGCTGCCCATGCCACAAAGACTGATAAGTGGTTGGAAAAGAAGCTATATAAAAGTGATCACACCCAGTGTGATTTCCTCTTTGAGGACTGACTGACCACCTCCTTCTGCTTGCTTTTGATTGCATTACCAGCCATCAAATATTTTTGTCATATTTTATGCAGGGTTTAAATCATGGGTAGGGTAACCTAATACAAAATTTCTTTGTCATTACTAATACCAGAACTACTCTACCTTTCTAAAAAGTAATTTCATTGTATTTATTCTCTATTTTTGCAGTACTGAAGATTGAACCCAGGGCCTTTCCACTGAACTACATCCCCCCCCTTTTTTATTTTGTGAAGGATGCTTGCTGAGTCACTCAGTTGCCCAGGCTGGGCTGAAACTTGCATTCTCAGTTTCCCAGAGTTTTAACTAATTGAGGTGAAATTCATATAAAATTACATCACCAGTTTAAATATAAGTGACATTTAACATAGCACATTATCGAGTAACCTACATCCATCTAGTTCCACATTATTATCACTCCAAACTAAAACCCAAATAGTACATTCCAAAATTATAAAATACTTAATTTTTTGGTTTTATATTTGTATGTTGTTTCTGTTACTGAAGATCTTAGCTTCTAATACTATTAAAACTTATTTGTTCTTTCTTTGCTGAAAGAAACTGTCAATGAGTCCTTGGTTGATCAGCTTTGTATGTCTATATCTGTATTCATGAGAAACCACTTTGAAGATATCAATATGTAATACAACAAGCATTGTTAATTCCCTACCACTCTGTTTGTAACTCTGTACTGTCTGTACTGTTCCTTTGCCATTTTGTAAAATGTCAACTGTCTGTTAATATTTTCCTCCTTTTATTTTTAAAATAAAAAAAACTTTTTTGCTTTATGCTGTAATATACACAAAATAGTTAAAAATTTCCAACAATAAAACTACTAACTGAAGTTTCATATTTTATTACAATCCTTTTTGATTTTAAAACATGAGCTTCTTGAAAGAATTCTCTATCATATATTACCACTCTGATATACTATTTGGTTTGTTTGCTGTGGTTTACTTTCAATTCTAGAGCTTTTTTCCTAGCTTCCTAAAATTTGCTTTCAGTTTTCTTTTTCTAACTTCTGGGCCAGTTCAAGCAATACTGGTATCTGTTTTTTCAAAGTGGTGGTGAAACTGCTTGCAAAAGAATCTAGTTTTATGTTTTTCTGAAGTAGTGGCCCTTTATTATAACATTATTTCTTTTATGAAAACTAGTCTGTATAAGTTTTATGTATCTATTGGGATTCACTTGGCAAATTATATTTTTTGCATTATTACTCCAGGTTTCACAAATTAATCTGCACAGTTATATAAAATAGTCTCTTTGAGGTTCTTTAAGAATGTGTGTGTGTGTGTGTGTGTGTGTGTGTGTGTGTGTGTGTGTGTGTTTAAATGGTACAGGGGAATGACAGGCAAATATTCTACCACTGAGCTACATCCCCAAGCCCTTTTTACAATTTTGAGACAGGATCTTATAAAATTGCTAGGCTGGCTTCAATCTTGTGATCTTCCTGCCTTTGCTTCCTGAGTAGCTGGGGTTACAGGCCTGTGCCACTATATCTGGCTTCCTCTTTTTTTTCTCTTCCTGTGATAGGGGTGATTGAATCTGGTGCTTCTGTACTGGGAAACACCCTGAGCCCTTTTTTATTTCTTTTGAGATAGGGTCTTGCTAAGTTACCCAAGTTGGGCTCAAACTTGTGATCTTCCTGCCTCAGCTTCTCAAAGTGCTGGTTTCCTCTACCTAATTGACAGTTTTCTCTTTATAATTCCTCAAATTACTTTAATAATATAGTAAGAGCATGTTGACCATACAAAGCAATCAAACAAAAATGCTAGCCAATATTAATAAAGTTTGAGAATAAATGGTCATATAAACCCATCTGCAGAATGGATCAAACTGTATATAGTATCAAGGACATTATGTCTGAAAAATGGAATGGAGTCAATGATAAGGGAAGAGTATGACATGTAATCAATTTCTTATAAATCATGTAAAGATAGTCTTTATTTTAGGGTCGCATTTATAGAAACCTCCTAATTCCTGGAATGTACCTCTGCTAATTCTTTTTTTTTTTGGTACCGAGGATTGAACTCCGGACCTTGCGCTTGGCAGGAAGGCGCTTGTGCCACTGAGCTATATCCCTGGCCCATTACCTCTGCTAATTCTAAACATCTAATGTTTTACCTACAAAGGGTGATCAAAGTATCTGGTAAATGTATAAATCTAAAAAAATCTCACAGTAAAAAAAACTGTGCCATTAACTGTCCTGAAATACTTCCCATTGCATTGAACCACATATCCCATCCTTATCCCTTTCTGAAGCAGTTCTGGAAGGCTTCTTTCGGGAAGTCTCTCTGTGAGACATAAAAAATATAACGATGCTGCTGAATGTCATCCAATGGAAAGGGAGGCTCATAAAAACATTATGGTATGTTTTCATTTACCTTTTAAATCAGATCTGGCACTGTGTGACTTCAGGCTCTTCTCTAAGGTCAAAATGACCATAAAGGGTCATTCTGAATTAATTCAGGACACTGAGGCAGCCACAACAGCACAACTAAGGACACTCATGAAGGGGAACTTCCAAAACTCATGAAAGGGGACTTCGAGAACTGTTTCAGAAAGTGGCAAGAATGATGAGATAAATGTGTTTGAAGTGAGGGCAGTATTCTGAGGGAGATTAATATCTTTTACTGTAATAGATTTTAAAATGTTTTTGAACATTCACTGTATTTTTTTATCACATTTCGCACATATTGTGTTTCCTACTTGACTTATATACGCTTCAGTAGTACTGACTCCAGGAACATACACACTTTATAACAGTTACTTTATTAGAGAAAGAATCAACAAGAAAAATGAGATATATTCCACAGAAAAATATAAATTAAGCTGGTATAATCTATTAGTTATGCATTATTTATATCATTTTGTCTTAGTGGACTAGGACTCTGCATTATACACTCCACATGTGTTACTGTATTAAAACCTTAAAACACCCTACGAAAGCAGGTGTATAAATCCATTTTGAGATAAAGACCCTGAAATTTAGAAGTAAGTCTTATCTACCTGCCTTAACTACCCATGATGTTTTTTTTTTTTTTCCAGTACCAGGAATCGAACTCATGACCTTGTGCTTGCCAGGCAGGCGCTGTGCCACTGAGCTAAATCCCCAGCCCTTACCCATGATGTTAATGGAGCGGAATTACCCATTCTACCTACAGATAGAGGGACCAGCAAGCTGTCACGATTCTGCTTTGTGACACTCCGGCCATAGCTTTCCAGATGAAGAGTGGTTACCTGGTCTCAACTATTTCAATTTTTTGCTTGGAACTTAAAATTGGGATTCAGAGATAGCTAATTAATCCTTGTACTGTATATGTTGAAGTGACAATGCCTGGCTGCTGTGTATGCTTATTTTCTGTCTTGAAGATGGAAAATTAAGAGTCCATAGAGATAAGAATGAAGAAGACACAGAAGACATGCAGGACACTTCAGTTCCTAGAACCGTCCCTCTCTGGAATACGGCTGGCTTCCTTTCTTCCTTCCTTGTGCTGCTCTGAAACTATATTTTATTATAATTTCTCCTTGTTCATGTGAGTGCACTTTGGCTTCTGGTACACATACACACAGCTCTTCTCTCTCACACAGGAAAAGTGGTAGCCTTCAGTAGAAATTCTGAGGATAATTTTAAGAGTTTGAATTTCACAATATTTTCCTAGAGCTAGTTAGAGATGCTGAGATTATCTCTTTATGTCACAGATGAATAACTCAGAGATAAAATGCCATTCCAAAAGTAATCTAGACAGTGGAGTAGCGTAGGGACTGGTTTTCTTCATCTTTTTACTAGTTCACCATGTTTCATTATATAGCTAGAGGTTCACTGCATTAATATTAACAGGCTATGAATACTGACATTATGAAATGAGGCATAAACCCATCCACAACTTGATACAATTACCTTATTGTGTTTTACTATTTTATACCCTCTTCCCAACAGATGTTCAGTTTTATAAAGAGACTTAATTCTATTTCAAAGGCTGGTAGTGTGGAACATGAAATAGATTTTCTCACAACACAATGTCAGACATGGTGGTTATAGTCCCAGGTTGGTCCCAGGAAAACTTAAGCTACAACACAACTATGAGGGAATTCCGAAGGACAGCATCTTCTGTAAAGTTTATCAAAAGGCAAATTGCTGAGGTAGGTGTGGTGACAAATGCCTTTAATCCCAGCACTTGGGAGGCTGAGGCACGAGAACAGTAAGTTCGAGGCCAGTCTGAGTGACACATGAATTTAAGGCCAGTCTGAACTGCACAGTGAGATTCTGTCTCAAAAAAACAGGAAGAAAAAAAAAAAGAAAAAGCACCAAACTGTCAAGAAGTGATGCTTCAAGAAGTATTTGGATGATCTTAGAGAAGTCACTCTCTTTGAAATCAATATTACTTCTAAAAAACCATGGTGATTATTAAGACTCATAGATTTCTGTTCTGCCCAGAAACTTTATAGCTCTAAAATAATGAGATGAGATGAAGATTTGAAACAGGATGAAAACTTATCCCTCATCCAAAATGTATGGGACCAGAAGTGTTTTGGAATTATGATTTTTTTGGTTTTTGGAATATCTACATATACACATTAAGATACCAGGAACCAATCAAGATTCACACCTCGCATCTAAGATTCTCTTTTAGCATATAAAAGATTCTATTCATTTATTTCCTAACAGGTAAGACTCTAGAATACCACGTAACAATGAACTGTATAACTAGTAATCATGAGAAGTAACAACAGGTAACTCTGAAGAGCTGATTATGCATTGATGCAATTATCTTAAAATAATCTAAACCAATCTAAAAGATGTTAAGAACGATTGCACTCTCCTGAAATTTTTGCTTGAGCATACAGAAGAGTACCAATTGTGTATAGAGATGTCACCCTCTTGTCTACTATCAGTATACAGTGTAAAGTCAACTATATGTCAACAGTAATATCTATTAATTGAAAACCAAGGAATTCATTCAAAAAGAACTACAGTTATGCATATTCAAAGGAGGGAATTTATTACTTACCTAGAAATAGAACAATCAACAGGATTATAATTGTTAGGAAAGCCTTGTTCCAAAATGTTGCAATTTTACCCCAGACCTTAAATGACAAAATCTTCTGCCATCTGTAAAGCAATTATATTAGGTATAAAAACAAAGTAGATTTTGAAATACTTAAGTAATATTTTAGTAAAAGCATGGCAAGTAAAAAGAATTGGAGAAATTTAATTTTAATATGTATTAATCCTCTTAGGTGACATAGAATATCTAATGAATTATACAACCCTTTTAATTTTAATAACTTTACACTGATTACCTTTTGTCTGGTGGCTTAAACATTCTAAGGTGAAAATAACTTTTAAACGTACATAAGCAAAACCTTAAAAAATGGTGCTGGGTATGGTGATGCATGCCTGTAGCCCCAGTATTTGGGTGACTGAAGCAGGAGGATTGCCATGAGTTTGATGCTAGCCTGCACTACATAGTGAGTTCAAAGGGTTGCTTGATAGGGTTGCCCGAAACCCTGCTTCAAAAACAAACAAACCGATAAAAAAAAAAAAAAAAAACCCTTTCCCCAAAACCAAAACCCAATCTTAAAAAAACAATTCTTGTAGTTAGAAACTACAGTCTATTGGTCTAACAATTAGCAAATTTCAGGTGTAGATAGCTTATGTAACTCTCTGCACGTTTATTTTTATGTAGTACATTTTTTTGTTTTGTTTTTTGTTTTTTTTCTGGTACTGGGAATTGAACTCACAAACTTGCACTTGCCAGGCAGGCACTGTGCTGCTCAGCTAAATCCCCAGCCCCTGTAGCACATTTTTAATATCTCCAGGTAAACGAATAAAAAGAACTTCTCTACTTTAACCATGAAGGCTGTAAAAAAAAAATTATTACGACACACACACTCACAAAGGTGAAAAAAAGTTACATATATACCGTGTTTAATTTTTACATTTGCATATACCCATGTAATTTTCATATATGTATATACTCAGGTCATTTACCTTCTACCCAGATCACAGAGGAAGTGAGATGGCAACATAAAGAGTCAAGAGGCATTGAAGAGCATTAGCAAGCGTTGGGATATAAACCCAGGCAGTGATTTCCGTAACACTGGGTTATGTGACAAAAGACCAGAGACTAAAGGAAACCTAAAGCCTTTTCTTTGAAGACTATGGTCACATAAATAAAAAAGGTAAAGATGTTAATACACACACTGCAAGGATATACTATACATATACCATACTTACTTTTATTTGTACATGAGAGAATTTACATCATATGCACATATAAATGTACCCAAAAGGCACTTGATCAAATAGGTAAAAAACTGTATTGGGCAGGAAGAAATAGGCTGATCTATATTTATGAATCATTTTGGTTTTTTCCGGGTTTTTTGGTTTTTTGGTTTTTTTTCTCCGGTACCGGGAACCGAACTCATGACCTTGCGCATGCCAGGCAGGCGCTTTTGCCGCTGAGCTAAATCCCCAGCCCCTATGAATCATTTTGATGGAGAGAAGGATCAACTGACAAAAGTTGCTTTCAAGGGCCGAGGATATAGCTCAGCGGAGCAGTGCCTGCTTGGCAAGGTCATGAGTTTGATTCCCAATACAAAAAAAAAAAGTTGCTTTCAAGTCCTTAAGCCATCTTTAGAAATTAGATGTTTAGAAACAAGATTTTCCTCTTCAGTATATGGGGTTCTTCTGTTATAAATACAATGAGCAAGGAAAACAGGCGCTACAGAAGGCCTGACAGGACAGTCAGTGTGAGGAGCAGAAAGCACCAAAAGCCATACTTTTCGGGGAACTGTCTGTCACAGATCAGTGAGGGGACCTCAGCCAGGTCATCTGCCCTCTTCTGAATCTCAGTATGTGATCTACAGAAGGAGGAGGTTAGATGGAATAATTAAAAATCTTCCCTGCTACAGTATGATCTCATTGTTTTTCTTTAGTAAGGAAGAAAAAAGCCCAGGTATGTATAACTAGACAACAGACAGGAACAGAAGTGAGGTGAAACCCAGGTAGGGGAGCAAGAGTTGTAAAAAGCTACCCGGATTCTGAGCCAAGGCAAAACTTTCCTTTTTTTTCTAGTCCCAGGACTGGAATAAGGCACAGTTGAAATAAAGTGGGTTATCGCCAGGATCTCGCTTATGAAATACTTTTTTATACCGTGAGCATAAACAAATTTCTTACAACATTTTTATTACAAACCTGTTTCATCATCCACACTATCAAACTCCTGGGTCTAAAATTAAAACAGTAAGGAGATTAGACTGTTAACAAGGATAAAGTGAGTCAATGGTTAGGTTAAAATACCTAGTAGTACTACTTGAAAGGCCTAATTTGATACTTTCCACGTTCAGGTCTTTTCATATGCATTCATTAATTTTGAGTGAAATAAAATGAGGTGAAATCGCCATTCATGAAACTATTTCTGGCTTACCTAAGGCTAAACTAAGAATCATTTTTTGGTTTCAGTTTCTTATTGTCATTTCACTGTCCCAATTTAACGTTTTTGTACCGATGCTGTAGTGCAGACAATTTATCCACTTATATTTATTTACCTCACTGTTTCAATTCAGGGCTATAAAAGAAAAGTAAAATCTGATGACTGGACAGGACAGGTGTCAAAAGTGTAAGTACCGTTTTTAGTGTATCTGTAATCAACGGAACTAAAAGGGTTGGGCTCCTCTCCTTTGAGACGTGAAAAGAACTATTTCTTTTGTAAACATAATTATACAAAGCGGTGTTTTCAAAGAGCACCTTTTACACCGTGAGCGCTCAGAACTTTTTATCTTAACGTCTTCCGTAGCACACTCCGCAGGCTGCAGGAGCTCAGCAAGTATTTACTGCTAACGACAGGAGGGTTTCCTACCTCTGAGGAGAAATGAAAGGTACACAGAAGAGTAAAATGAGTCCTATTTCGGCATACAGAAAGCTTGCAACTGCCACCCACTGGATTGTCATTTTTGGGTCCTCGCACCTAAACAGAGAAACACTTATTTTACTTCGCTCCTTGGAAGGAAACGAGGTCAGCGGCCCGGGCGCGGCGTCCGGGTGGGCGTTCCGGGCCGGCGCGCGGGATTTG